GATGATGGATGGATGATGGATGGATGATGGATGGATGGATTGATGATGGATGGATGATGGATGGATGATGGATGGATGATGGATGGATGATGGATGGATGGATTGATGATGGATGGATGATGGATGGATGATGGATGGATGATGGATGGATGTCAGTCAGTGAAATCTTCTCACGAGCTGTTTCCTGTTCTGTGCGTCAGAAGTTTCAAAATAAAAGCATGAATAAGTGGTGGTCCTGGTGCTGTCAGGGGATCCTGTTTTTCACTAAAGGTTCTGGTTCTGTTGGTCCGGTCCTCAGCAGGTGGCTCACAGCACCTGCGGTGACGGCGAGTACAACCTGCGCAGCCGGACCTGCGGCTCCTGTGGACTCCCTTCAGACAAGTCCGGCAGCTGCTCCCTGTCCTCGACGCCCCGCTCGTTCCGCAGCGGGGGGGTCTCTGAGGGTCTGGTCCCGCAGTCCTACCTGTTCAGCACCAGCACGGCCCGCAAGGTGAGTGACGGGAGGAGGCAGGTGGGGCGAAGGACCAGAGTCTGGACCAAGTCCTGGTCCAGGGTCTCCTGGACTTCTTTAAAACTGGCCTCAGATCTTTCAGGGTTTTATGTGGCAGAACTCAAACCGTGGAAGCGGTCTTCTGTGACACGAGCGTTGAAGTTCTGTTGCTTTGTGTTTTCAGAGCGGGTCCAGGATGGAGAGCTGCCCCGTCATGTGAGCTCTGCTGCAGCTGCCTGCACTTCTCCTCCATCAGGATATTTGAAATAAACCTGAATATTCACGCATGCTTGCAAAGTTTCTGTTGTGTACTCTGAGCTGAAAGAAGAAGCAAACGGTTTGAATATTTTATTCAACCAAAGTTTAAAAGATGATAAATAGACCTCGGCTGGTATTTACTGCTAATCCTGTTTTTAATGAATCATTTGAAGTGTACTGTCAGAATATTTTGTACTTTTGCTGATAATAATAAACATTTTTAACTAAAGTGTTTCTTTGTCTCATTTAAACGTTGTACTCTTCAGTAAATGTAAAATTTATGTAAAATATTTCTAAATTTTACTAAAATATAACAACACCATCTTCATACAGAACCAAACAAACATCTGACCTGGTGTTTAAACTTATTATTTTATATTTTACTCACCATTTCAATGGATTTTACAATAAGTTGTTTCTGTTTGTACATCAGAGCTCATTCAGAAAACAACATGGCTCATTTCTGACCGGAAACACAACCGGAACAACCTTTATTTTGAAGGCTCTTCCGCTCAACCCGGAAGTTAGCCGCTAGCTTCCGTTTTGAACGTTTTCAACCTCCAGCGACTCGTTTTGCCTCTTGTTTGTGTTTCCGTGTGTAAAAAGGACATTCTGCTCCTGGAGTTACTTGTTAAGAAGAACATAAAATATTTGGTGAGTTTTTCTTTTAGTCTCAAATAATCTCGAACAGCAGCTAAATGCTAACGATGTTTAGCTTGTGAAGTTAGCAGCTCAACAAAAATAAAACTTTAAAAACACAAACAGTTTAAAACCATAAATATTAACATTTAAATTATACGTGAGAAGCAGACAGTAAACCATAAGAACGAGGAGAAACCTTTTTATTTTATTATTAACAAAATGAGTTTTTGTACATTTTTATCACGAGCAGCTGAAGTTTTAACTTTTACTTGATTTCAGTTTATTTTGTGAGAAACTGGAACAAATGTTGTTGTTTGTTCAAAACTCACGTAAATATATAAAATTATCACAATAAACTGAACATTCATAAATATTTTATGTTCAACAGGAACTTTAAAGTCTTCAGTTCCGTTGTTTTAAATGTAGCTTCAGTTATTTCTTCAGTCTCGTTGGGTTAAATTTATATTTTGTTTATTTTCTGGATTTCTTGCATCTTTTTGTTTCGTCCACAGTTTAAATGACAAAGTGAACTCAAAGTGTCCAAACAGGAACTGAGAATCTTTAAACTGGGACTTTTGCTGTTTTTCTCATAAATCCTCTGTTTCTACAACCGGTTCAGTTTCCAGGTGTTCCACTGACTGATCCAGTTCCTGGTCCTGGTCTAGTTCCTGGTCCTGATCCAGATCCTGGTCCTGGTCTAGTTCCTGGTCCTGATCCAGTTCCTGGTCCTGGTCCGCAGCTGTGAGCTCGTGGGTTTAAGATGTTTTTAGTTTACTGGTTCAGCGGCTCACTCTGTCCATCTCTGCAGGAGTTCGGCTGATGTTGACGGTCCGGACTCTGTTCGGTTTCCTGGTGAGCTCGCGGGTCGCAGCGGGCCTCGCTCAGACGGCGACGTGTCGGCTGACGTCTGACGCTGAGCATCAGCCGAAGGGTTGCTTCAGCAGCAGAGCGGCGTCTACGATGGCCCAAACCATGAAATACCTCGGGTGAGAACCGAACCGTGTTCTGTGACGTAAGACCGGACTGAGTGAGTGTGTCTGGACCGGACTGAGCTGTGGACTCTTCACAGGCAGGAGGAGGCCCAGAAGATCGACGAAGAGCTCTTCAGCGAGTACGGCTTCAGCGTGGATCAGCTGATGGAGCTGGCTGGACTCAGCTGTGCTACAGCCGTCACACGGGTCCGTTTGACACAAACAGGAAGTGGTGTGAATAGTTCAGTCTCTTGTGCTGAAACAAACAGGAAGTGGTGTGAATAATTCAGTCTCTTATGCTGAAGCAAACAGGAAGTGGTGTGAATAATTCAGTCTCTTATGCTGAAACAAATAGGAAGTGATGTGAATAATTCAGTCTCTTATGCTGAAACAAACAGGAAGTGATGTGAATAATTCAGTCTTATGCTGAAACAAACAGGAAGTGGTGTGAATAATTCAGTCTCTTATGCTGAAACAAACAGGAAGTGGTGTGAATAATTCAGTCTCTTATGCTGAAACAAACAGGAAGTGATGTGAATAATTCAGTCTTATGCTGAAACAAACAGGAAGTGGTGTGAATAATTCAGTCTCTTATGCTGAAACAAACAGGAAGTGGTGTGAATAATTCAGTCTCTTATGCTGAAACAAACAGGAAGTGGTGTGAATAATGCAGTCTCATGCTGAAACAAACAGGAAGTTGTGTGAATAAGTTTAAAAGAAGCTGCTGTTTCTGCTGCGTGAACTTTAAATCTCGTTGTTTCCTCCTGCAGGCGTATCCGCTCTCGTCTCTGGTCAAGTCCAGACCGTCCGTGCTCGTGGTCTGTGGACCGGGGAACAACGGGGGCGACGGGCTGGTCTGCGCTCGGCACCTCAAACTGTTTGTGAGTCCAACCAAACGTCCAGCAGAACCTTAAAGTGAGATTTGTGGGTTTGGACCTGCTGTTCCTAAACGTGTGGGCCAGAACCTCGCTGTGGGTCACATCTGCAGAACCAGAACATCTGAAAATGATTAATGTTCTATTGTTAGGAATCAAAGGTTCAGCCTGACTGAAACAAGTGCACACAGCCGGTCCGATTGTTCGGTCAGAACCTGAAACGTTTGGGACCCACTGGTTCTGATTTCTGGTTCTGACCCGCTGGTTCTGACCCACTGGTTCTGATTTTCTGGTTTTGACCCACTGGTTCTGACCCGCTGGTTCTGACCCACTGGTTCTGACCCGCTGTAGCTGTGAGTTGACCTGAAAATGAGTTTGTTTATTTTGGAACAGTCTGAGTTGAATTTAAATCAAATGTTTCAACTTGATCTTTTTAAATTCGTGCAGGTTTTATTTTAATTATTTAAATTATTTAAATGATTAATTTTGTTTTTTTAATTTTTTAAAAGTCTGTAAAATCCTGTAAGAAGGTCCAGAGAACCGCTGGTGATCTTGACGGAGAACTGAAGGTTCATCCTCGAGCCAGTCTGGATCCATGGGGAAGTTCTGAGTGTCACTTCCTGTCCCGCAGGGTTACGAGCCCACCATCCTGTACCCCAAGAGACCCGGCAAAGTTCTGTTCCAGGGTCTGACCACGCAGTGCGAGAAGATGGAGATCCCCTTCCTGACGGAGATGCCCGAGGTCCGATCCTCCGGTCCACAGCTGGTTCTGTTGGTTTGTTCAGCCCGTAGTTTCCTGATGGTGTGAAACGTTGGTTCCTCAGGCGGAAGTTCTCGACGAGGTTTATAATCTGGTGGTCGACGCCGTCTTCGGCTTCAGCTTCAAAGGTTCTGTTCGAGAACCGTTCGCTTCCGTCCTGCACGAGCTGAAGAAGAGCACGGTCCCCATCGCCAGCATCGACGTCCCCTCAGGTCAGAAAACCTTCAAAATAAAATACTTCCTGTCCTAGAGGTCAGTTCAGCAAAATAAAACCACTTCCTTTTTCATTTCAAATGATTAAAATTAATTTATAATCAAAAACAATAAATTTATCAAAAGATGAAACTTAAAAACTTGAACAGTTTCAACAATTCAAACGTTCAAACTAATTTTAAAATATTTACTGAGTTGAGATTTAATTTTATTGTGAAAACTGAGAGCTGAACAGTAGCTAAAAACAAACCCTTACAGAACAGCAGCTAAAACTCATACACAGAGCGGTAGCTAAAGGCTAAAATGAGCTAAACAGTAGCTAAAACTCATAAACTGAGCAGTAGCTAAAGGCTAAAATGAGCTAAACGGTAGCTAAAAACAAACTCTTACAGAACAGCAGCTAATACTCATACACAGAGCGGTAGCTAAAGGCTAAAATGAGCTGAACAGTAGCTAAACCCAATCCTGTACAGAACAGTAGCTAAAACTCATAAACAGAGCAGTAGCTAAAGACTAACATAAGCTGAACAGTAGCTAAAAACAAACTCTTACAGAACAGCAGCTAATACTCATAAACTGAGCAGTAGCTAAAAACTAAAATGAGCTGAACAGTAGCTAAACCCAATCCTGTACAGAACAGTAGCTAAAACTCATAAACAGAGCAGTAGCTAAAGACTAACATAAGCTGAACAGTAGCTAAAAGCGACGTCTGTGTGCTGAAGTGAACCAGGACTTGTTGGACCTGGTCCAGGAGCAGAACTGCCGTCGTGTGATCGCGTCACGTTCAGATTCAACTCATTCAGTTTCTGATAAAGTTTCACACAAAGATTTCACAGGATGAGTCACACTCAGATTATTGTGGATTACTCTCAGCTACTACCACATTATATTTTAGCTCAGTATCAGTCAGAATAACTGAATTATTGTCACTTATGTGTTTTAAGGCCAGCTGGCTGTGACGGCCATCTTGAACTGGGCTGGCGGCTTCATTTAATCGGCTGTGGGCCTGAAAATGTCTAAAAGTCATTTAGTTTTCAGATAAAGTGACAGAGTGAGACCTCTTCTTTGTCACGTGGTGTTCAGAAAACTACAGACCTGACCTCCGTGTTTTTCACGTCCCTGCAACAACCTGCTGGTGCTGCCAGCGCTGTGGATCGGATCTTGGTGTTTGTGCTTAAATGAAGGTTCTGGTTGTTTGAAGGTTGGGACGTGGAGCGGGGCGGCGCCGACGGCCTCCAGCCCGACACGCTCATCTCTCTGACCGCGCCCAAGAAGTCGGCCTCCATGTTCACGGGACGGTACCACTTCCTGGGAGGGCGGTTTGTCCCGCCCAGCTTGGAGAGGAAGTACCAGCTGAACCTGCCTCCGTACCCGGGGACGGACTGCGTCCTGCAGCTGTAGAGGAACCGGGCCGCTTTGGGTCTGGTCCAGAGGTTCTGATCCGGTCCTGTGGTCCGATCAGCGGTTCCAGCCTTTCAGCTTCAGTTCCTGAATGTTCCCTTTGAACCATGAATCTGAATGAATGTTGCTGTTTTCGGCTGTCAGAAACTATCAGCCGAAGAAAACGAGAATAAATAAAGGTGTTGGGGCGAAGAGTTTGTTTTGATTTTTATCGTCTGAAGGCGAGCGCTGCGTCAGAAATATTAGATTTAAAAAGATAAACTGGCTCAGATTTTACTGTGAACACAGCGCTGAACGCCAGCTGAAGACGCTGAACGCCAGCTGAACGACAGCTGAAGACGCTGAACGCCAGCTGAAGACGCTGAACGCCAGCTGAAGACGCTGAACGACAGCTGAAGACGCTGAACGACAGCTGAACGCCAGCTGAAGACGCTGAACGCCAGCTGAAGACGCTGAACGCCAGCTGAAGACGCTGAACGCCAGCTGAACGACAGCTGAAGACGCAGAACGACAGCTGAAGACGCTGAAACTGGAGGCGTTAATAGCTGAAAGAGCAGAACACGAGCTGAACGCTAGGAGGAGATAAACTTTAGCCAAAAGAAGCTGAAACACTAGCAGCTGAAGGCTAAAAGACATTACCATTAGCCGCAGCAGGCTAACAGCTAAATCCACATTAAATTGATGGTTGAATTTTCAAAATAAGTGTTTTCTGAGAAACTACACATTTCTGAATTGTGTCGTGCAGTTACAAATCTTGTTGTACGAGTTTGTGAATCTTTGTCGACTCATTTATCTCATATCAGGTCTGGATCAGGACCCAAAGAACCAGAGCCTGGACATGAAGATGGAGGCTGAGGAACTTCCAAGCGAACCAACGTGTAGAACCAGGAACTGGACTCGTTTGGAAGCAGGACTGCTCGTCCTCCAACGGCGTAAACCTGTAACTTCAACATCAAAGCTCGGAGCTTCAGAGGAAACAAACGGGACTCGACGTTCGGTCTTTAATCGCTCACCAAGTTTTCTCCGTTTATTACACCGCTAATAACCACCGGACGCTAACAGGAAACAGGAAGTAGAGTCTGAAGGTGGTGTTTCCTGTCCATCAGCTGATGAGTCCGCCCTGTGACTACACGTGGTTCTGCCTCCAGTCGGCTCGTGGACGTAACGGGGCTTAAACGAGTGCACGACATGCTCTATATACAGTGCTGGGTCCATGCACGCTGAGGAGGAAGAGGAGGCCGGGCCTTCGTCATGCAGGTCCGAGCCGAGGGAGGTTTTCAGTCCAAGGAAGAGCCTGAGGACAGAGACGGTTCTGAAGAGCCTGAGGACGGAGACGGTTCTGAAGAGCCTGAGGACAGAGACGGTTCTGAGAGACCAAACCCAGATCCAACAGGAAGTGAAAGGTGCGAGCGTGGGCCTCACCTGTGCTATTCTCCCACCTGCACACCTGCACAGTTGTCTTTACTCTCCGAGGCGATGGCCAAGTATTCAGCGTTTCTGCAGAAAACAGAGAAGCGTCAGAAGAACCTGGAACTTGGTCTTGAATGAAACAAACGTTTCTGCTGCCGTTAATAAAAATAAAGTTAATGATTCCAGGAGAAACTCCAGCGAAAGATTCTGGTCCTTTGATTTATTTTTAACGTTTTAAATCCTAAAATCTTTTCACTTTTATCAGTTTGGTTTTTATTAAACTCTCAAACTGTTTGAAAATGTTAAAGATTCATATTTTAAAACTTGATAAACAAGGAATTATGTAATTCTTAAATATAATTAAATTTGCCGGCCGCCAGGGGGCGCCAGAGAGCCCCCGCTCCAGATGACTCTCAGCTACTACCACCACAAACATCTGCTCAGCTCCGTCAAAGAACGTATGGTTTGATTAGCTCCGGCGGCCATCTTGAACCTGTCAGACTGCATGCAGTGAGTTCTGTCAGTTTATTAACGTCCATCCAGAGGGTCGCCCGTGGTGCATGATGGGTAAAGAGGACGCCAGGTGCCATCAAATGGACTTTTAGGCCCAGTTTGTTTCAGGACTGAGACTCCAGAATCTCAGAGTTCTACAGGGACATGTCTCCAGTCCATCACAGGGACATGTGGACATGTCTCCAGTCCATCACAGGGACATGTGGACATGTCTCCAGTCCATCACAGGGACACAGGAGTATTGATAAATGTTTTCAGGCGTTCTTTGAGGAGGTTGTTTCTCCTCAGGAACAGTTTTAAACTTCAAGGACCTCTAAAGACTCTTGAAGGACTTCTGAGGGACAAGAGGACTCTGAGGACGCCTCGGTCCTGGTTCCTGACTGAATAAGGAGCAGCTGAAACTCGACCTGCAGGGCAGGAGTTTAGAAAAACTTGCTCTAAACGTCGTATCGAGGCAGACTGACTTGAGCGTGTGAGAAATGTGGCGGCGGCAGGAACTCACGCGGCCTCCCGCAGCGCCTCCTCCCCGGCTGCAGCGATCTTCCTGTAGCAGTAGATCATCTCGATGAGGAGCCACACCTGCAGGCCGATGATGGACACGTACATCATGACCTCTGACACGATGGAGGCTGTTCCTCTGGTGGCTGCAAACAAGGACATCCAATCAGTCGCTAAACCTAACGAGAGGGCGGAGCTACAGACAGGAAGTGGAGTCTGGACATCAGGCTGCAGCTAGCGATGGAGTTTATGACCTCGTGTTCTGTGAGCAGGTCTTTAAAGTTACGTCTCGTTTTGTGCTCCTCTGGCTCAGGTTGCTTCAGGGTCTTTTCTTCCCACTGTCACCACCCGCAGCTCGGAGCTTTCTATGGATGTTAAAATATTTGGAGCTGATGTGTTGGTCAGGAAGGGTGACATCACGTCCGACGCAACCCAGCAGCTGGGTGTCATAAACATGTCTGCTCCGGGTCAGAACCAGAGCTTTAAACATGTCTGCACCGGGTCAGAACCAGAGCTTTAAACATGTCTGC